TTACTGGGCTAGATGGACCTTTGGTCTGACCCAGTATGGCCATTCTTATGTTCTTATGTTCTAAGCTCAGGGTCGGGGGTCTCACTGGATCAACTTGATTTTCATGCAAACCTGCTCCTGGGTTCGCATGTGACCTTTGGTGGCCAGGCTGGCAGCTATCCTGCCCTAGACGGCCGCATTCCTGTGCCTAGTGCAGAGGTCATGGACGTTGGAGGCCTCCCCCCAAACCTCAATGAGGTCCACGATCTCCGCACTAGACCAGGTGGGCGCCTGCCTCTTGCGGCCCCGGGCAGGCTCTTGGGAGCCACCAGCCTGGTCCTGGGAAGAGGCGGAGGGCTGGGTGGCAGTGGGTGGCTGGCTCATCTTGTGCCAGGTGCAGGGTTTACTGGCTGGGTGCTGGCCGGCTTGCAACTGGCACAAGCACAGTAGCCAGACTGTGGCCCTATAAGGGCTCCTGGGCCGGGAAGGGGTAGAAGAGTTTCACTGGTTTGGCCCAGAATGGCCACCAGGGCAAGCTGGGAAGGGCTAGCCTCCAACTAGTTTGAATTAAGTGGCTACAGAACATTTTCCCTGGATAATTCCGCACTGGAAATAGTATAAAGATGTGTGGGTGGGATTAAAGCAAAAATAAAACTAACAGTTATCTGAGGTATGCCTACACTTCTAAGTTAATTCGAACTAACAGCTGTTAGTTCGAATTAACTTAGAAGTGTAGGCATACCTCAGATAACTGTTAGTTTTATTTTTGCTTTAATCCCACCCACACATCTTTATACTATTTCCAGTGCGGAATTATCCAGGGAAAATGTTCAATTCTCAGTTTTAGGAATCAAACACTTCAATATTATAAAAGAAAATTAAAATTCTACTTTGTGGGAGGACAGTAGAAATATTTCCCTTTTCAGAGTGCTATGAGAATAGATAAATGTAAATTGTAGATGCATTTAACAGAGAAAATTGAAGTCAATGAAATTACTTTCCCTGTTTATTGAATTCTAATTCAGATTCTTAATAAAGGATTTTAATTATTAATTGCTCCTAACTGTCATATGGAAATAGTCTTTGCATGCAAAAATCCACTAAGCATGGTTAGTATTTCCCTATAGTAGTAGGCACAGATGAAGGAGGACTCAGGCAAGATAAATGACAGATAGACATAGATCACAACTGAATTGTTCAATTACTTCATTTATTTATTATAATGAACTGTGATATCATAGGTTAAAAATGTTGGGTCCAGTCTACCAGTTCTTAGATAAAACTTTCATTGAGGTCAACAGCAGTTTTACTTGTGTAATTAGGGCCTGGTCCAGATTCCATGAATGCCCATTGCCTTTAGATCAGATTTAAAAGAAAGATTAGACCTTTTCTGTAAATGACATTCATAGAAAATAAATAAAATCTCACTATGTATTTGACAAGATACATGAAAAAACATTTATGCACTGTGGAAATTAAGATATTAGTTTACCTACAAAACTATATTTACCAAAAAAGAAAAAAAAAGGAGTCCTGTGGCACCTTAAGGTACATTTAGACTTCACTCTTAAAATCGAAATAAGATATGCAATTTGCACTGCGCAAATTTACAGGGAAGTTTACAGGGATGCCGAAATAGCGTGTCCATTATTTCGAAAATTATTTCAAAATAGTGGATGCGTTCCTTGGACCTGGGGTAGTTATTTCGGGATGCCTTTGGTATCCCGAAATAGCCTTGCACTCTAGGGCTACGTCTACACTGGCCCCTTTTCCGGAAGGGGCATGTAAATTTCATGAGTCGTCGTAGGGAAATCCGCGGGGGATTTAAATATCCCCCGCGGCATTTAAATAAAAATGCCCGCCGCTTTTTTCCGGCTTTTAAAAAAGCCGGAAAAGAACGTCTAGACTGGCCCCGATCCTCCGGAAAAAGCGCCCTTTTCCGGAGGCTCTTATTCCTACTTTGAAGTAGGAATAAGACCCTCTGGAAAAGGGCACTTTTTCCGGAGGATCGGGGCCAGTCTAGACGCTCTTTTCCGGCTTTTTTAAAAGCCGGAAAAAAGCGGCGGACATTTTTATTTAAATGCCGCGGGGGATATTTAAATCCCCCGCGGATTTCCCTACGACGACTAGTGAAATTTACATGCCCCTCCCGGAAAAGGGGCCAGTGTAGACGTAGCCAAA